TAAGACTTCTATTATCCTAAATTCTGATTTTACAGAATGATGTGTTTTTCTTCTGAAATTACAATATCATTTGACAGATATTCTGAGCTAGTTCACTCTATGAGAGTATTTTCCGAATTAAAAAGCAAATATCTAATAAAAAAGGGAAAAGTAAGAAATAATTATTGAAAATGTGAATGACTGAGCAGACTACTTCTTACAATTGAAATATCCAGTTTTTGTTGATGTGTATTATGGGACATGTGTAGATGCAAACATGTTCTGTTAGCCAGATCATATTCCCGTTCATTCCTAAGATGCCATACTATATACAAACCAAGAGCACGCCTTAAAAGGGAGAGTTATGTTGTACAGTAAAGATATCTGCTCAACTATTTCACCTACAGTAACATTTTCTGCTTTTTACTGACTATTAAAAAGATAACACACAAATTCACAGGATGCAAATTCCTCCATTTACCCATGGGTTCCAGAGACTGCAGTTTCTTGACTGAAGGTGTATGGAAAGATTCTGGGAACTTATCCCATCCTGAATTTTGCACACTGTCACTTGTAGAAATGGTCATCTTCTGAGAGTTTTGAGAACTCCCTTTACTGTTTTCATTGCAATTTAAATCTACAGAAAGAGATGTATCTGGACTGTCAGCCAATTTCTCTTTCGCATTAGCTATCTCCTGAAAGATATTAAATGAGGTTAACACATGTACAGGAAAAAGCCTACAGTCTTCTAATCAGTGTTTCACATTTAGAATAGATCAGATTCCACATATATACAATACAGTTAGTCCTGAATCTCAACCATCAAAGGCACAAGTGAAACAGAAAAAAAATAGTCATAGATCTGCACAAAGAAGTGAATGGAGTTACAGGTGTTTTGGGAGTGATGTTCCGGTCAATATAAAGTTGAAATGCATGACTGGATATACCTCATGGAAAGCCAGTCAAAACAGTATTATCAGTTACATGCACCAGCTCACAATTAAAACTGATGCTACTCCTGGCAACATTTGTAGTACTTTCCTTTTAGTATTCTATGTCTACGCATCTGACTGAAGTCTGGACACGGAGCAGGAAGCAATGTGAGGAATATGCTTCCAGTATTCCCCATACGGAGCTACTGCTGCAATCAGCAGAGACATGCTGAGCAATGCAAAAGATGGAACCCAAGGAGTTTCCATTTAGAGCACTCATATGATGAGTCAAATAATTAATTTTACAAGGAAACACAAACTTAGTACTTAATAGATTATCGCCTTCAGACAACTTACTTGGTTTATTTTTGTTTCAGAATGCAAACAGCGGATCATAGCATTGACATGTGTGATACAGGTTTTCCAGTCTTTTCCATATTCACTCAAATCATAGTTTGGAAAGTTAGCTGCAAGAAATTCTGCATATAAAGCACACAAAATTTATTAAGATTCATTATAAAAAACCATGAAAACAGTATTTAAAAGTCTTCTTGTTTAGAAAGAAGGCTTAGGATTGCTTGATGTTTACCCTTCTCCATTTAGGAGCTTTGTATTTCTAGCTTTTATTAAAAAGAGATGGGAAGCTCAATTTCGTAGTGCTACTTAGCTTCAAAACAGAAGAGGTACACTGATATCTCTTTGATGTGTTTCAATAATGCTTTCACTATTAAGTAATTTGTGGTAGAAGTAGGAAAAAGATATAATTTGTTGTACAATCTTTTTTTTTAAAAAAAAGAAGACTGAGTAATGCTGATGCTGCAACTACATAACATGGTCTATGCAACCTGCCAGCTTTAAGTAGGAAATGAGGAAACGTATGTGCTACAGGACATTGGGAAAATAGCCTGCCACCAGCATTTAAAAAAATAAAAAAATTAAAAGTCCTCCCACCTTCACGACTTCTCAAACAAACAAGAAAAGTGAAATTAAGAGAAGGAAAGAATGTGTAAGAATAATAAGGTAGCTTTTGTGGCAAGTATACCACAACTATAAACAAATCAACCAAACAAACAAACCCACCCACAAAATCAATGTCACACAAGCAAAGTAAGTAGTAAAAAATTTAAGAACACTTGGCATAATTGATGAACATGAAGTAAATGAAACTGGAAAAAAAGTAGAACTGTTTTATCTGTATTGGAAAAAAAAAAAAATCAACATTGAGAATCACAAGGCAGGATTTTCAAAAACCAGAAGACAGAGAAGAATTTAGCACATTCACAACAGCGTTCAGGAGTTGAGAAGTTGCTGGACAACGATTACGATTATCCTAGAGAAAAGAATGCATTCTTTTACTATTAAGTAATTTATGGTAGAAGTAGGAAAAAGTGAAAAACTCTAACTACCATGTAGAACATAAATCAGTGCATTTTGAAAGGTATCGTACCTCTTATTGCAGTCATTTTATTAGGATCCAGTGAACACCACCCTTGTGTACTCACTCCTATAACGCTACACAATAAAGCTTCCTTGGGGAACAAGACACGAACCAAGTAGCGCGCTGCATACTTTGGTTTAGTCTTTTGCCGAGCTTTCATCAAATAGTTTCCAAGAACTTTCACATTTCTCACCGGGTCACCAACATAATCTTTTGTAAAACAAAAGCAAACAAATTATTTTTAAAAAGTAAATATATATGTATCATAGAATCACTAAGGTTGGAAAAAACCTCTATGATCAGCTAGTTCAGCCATCCACCTCCCACCAACACTGCCCACTGAACCACATCCCTGAGTATACTTGTACCTTTGTACCCTTTCCTTAAACACATCCAGGGATGGTGACTCCACCACCTTCCTGGGAAGCAGGTTCCTATGCCTCACCGCTGTTTCTGAGAAGAAATTCTTCCTAATACCTCACCTGAATCTCCTGTGGTACAACTTGAGGCCATTTCCTCTTGTCCCATCACTGTTACTTGGGAGACATCTGACCACAATCCCCTTTCAGGCACTCGTAGAGAGCAGTAAGGTCTCCCTTGAGCCTCCTATAAGCTCTCCCCTGAGCCTTCTGTACGTGTATAGAATATACACATATATACGCACTTAAAAATATCTTTCAAATATATTGCTTATAATAATGGGATAACGTAAAGAATTCATCATTTTCTGTGGAATATATTATTTTGAAAGAAACCAAACACTGGAGGAAAGAACAGATTTTCCACAAATAAAAAAAGTTCTCTAAGAAGAGAACAGGTTTCTCCTTCACACAAATCAGGTATGTTGCTTTCTTTGCAGGCATATGCCTCAACTCTACAGACAGTCTCTTTTGTGTTTTTTGAAACATGCATAGTATGGATGTATTACTCATAGTATACGCAGGTTAAAGATAGTATTCTTGATGTAAACTAAGAGGGAATAAAAGGACTTAGTCTTATAAATAACACAAAGGCTTGTCTTATGTAACAGCATATATACTGCACAGAGGTTTTTAATTGATCCCCAGCATATTAAACATTTCTAAGACATTCAAGAATTCTAAACCCTATTCTATCATAAAAGCGCTTGCAGAGCAGCTGGTTTTACTCCTTTACTTTTCTTAAATAATGATAAGCAGATTTCTTGAGGCAGAATTTTTTACACTAGCAGCAATTTTTTAGCCCACGCGCCTGCATATTTATTACAAAGAAACTTACCAAAGCTTGGATGGATGGAGACTGATGAAGATGGCACTTCTTTGCTAATGTTTACACTCCCAGATGCATTTCTGTAGTTCACCACCACTGCTTCATTTCCCAAACCTGTTTCAGATGGTGCTGGCATCACTGATGATGCTGCTGAAGATGATGCAATGTTGACAGTACTTTCAACAGTACCAGAAAGATTTGGTTGTGGAAGAAGGTCAGGGATGCTGTCAGCTGCTGTAAACTGTGAATGCAAGGATTGTGTAGAAACTATGGTGGGGAGTGGAGGGCTCTGCCTAAGAACAGGCTGCTGAGATTCAAGTTCAACAGTCTGTTGAACGCTATTTGTTGTGGTATTGACCTGACCATGGCTATTTTGTAAAGCAGCCCTTATGACTGGGTTATGCCTTCCTCGGCCTGGTGAAGAGAGATGAAGACTTGAAGCCCTTTCCAGAGATTTTTGTACTCTTATTTTTCCTTGGGGCAAATGACTGGAACTTCTGTATGTAAATCCAACTGGTTTCTGTAAATTTGATTCAGAAAACAATAAAAAGGTTAAATTAGATACATCTGGTCTTTCACAAACCAAGAAGAACACAATTTAATAATTATGCTATTGGCAATATAGTTTGCCACAGAATCACAAAACGGATGAGGCTGGAAGGGACATCAGTGTCCACCTGGTCCAACATGTGCTCAAGTAGGCACAGCCAGAGCAGGTTGTCCAGGACCATGTCCAGACATCTTTTGATGATCTCCAAAGAGGAGACCCTACAGCCTTTCTGGGCAGCCTGGATCAGCATCCACACAATGTAAAGAATCCCTCTGGTGTTTTGATTCGTGCTCATTGTATCTTGGCCTGTCACTGTGCACCACTGAAAAGAGCCTGACTCCATCACCTTTGCATCCTGCCATCAGGAATTTATACACATAGATGAGATCCCCTTCGTGTCTTCTCTTGTCCAGGGTGAAGATTCCCAGCTCTCTCAGCCTCTCCTCATAGGAGAGATGTCTGCTCCCTTCATCATTTTTGTGGTCCAGTGTTGGACTTTTCCTAGCATGTCCACATACACGTTGTGCTGGGGGAGCCCAGAATTGGTCACAGTAGTGACCACTCTCCACTAGAGTAATTCATCTTTGTCACGAAACCAACGCTATTCTTCTCTCTTCTATTCTCATTTTTAAGTCAGACACTAAACATTTATCCTGTCAGTCATTTTCTGTCCAAGCTGTCTCTTCATCATTTGTTTGTTGGCTGAAGGCATTCAATATCCAGACCCTGTTTGCAGTGTAGACTCCATAGTAAATAAAATGGACAGAGATGGGTTGAGCTTTCTGTTACCTGGAGTCCTTTCATTATAAAAAACATGCATCCTAAGACATCCATTCTATTTCAAAACTCAGTCAGCGAGTAGGAGTTAACAAAGATGTGTTTGGTTTTTTTTATTGTTAGATCAGAAGTCAGAACATATTCTACCCTTGAAACCTTTAAAAATCTATCACCTGAATAAAGACTTTGCTGAAAGTTCGTCCATTTCTCCAACTGATAAATCATAGTACCTTTGCCACTAAACTCCTGAGTTATATCCTTAACACATGGCAGATGTAACAGTATACAGCTATAAAAAATGAAAGCTTTCGTGATGGTTTTTAAGAGCAAAAGCATGACACCTTGTTGTGGCTGACACAAACAGTTTGTTCCACGAATCTCGATGTTTGGATGACTGTACAGTACAAGCATGGACAACAACAACACTTTCCCAAATAAAATGTAATACTTTATTAATTACAAACACGCACAAGACCGGCTTCACTTTTATTCACCCTTGATGCAAATAACCTTACTGATCTCTTGATTTTTTGACACCAGAATAGCTCTGTCACGTTGAAAGCTTCTAATATTGTTGACAAAGAAAGGTCACTAGAGAATTCATGACCTTCTTCAAAAATTACCTGCT